CTTATCAGAGACAATTACAAACAAAACCGCCTACTGTGAACACCAGCGGGGCAGCAGAGGGCAGTATTAGGCACAGGCCAACAGGCAGGGTATGGGAACTGTGTAGAAAATAAAGAACCAGTAAAGATCTATTAAAAATTTACTATATTCTGACAGAGGGTACAGAAACTTGTTTGAGATTAACCTCAAGTACTTATTTAAGTGTCTCATCTGCTAAAAGTGTTGTAGGTTCTCCTTACAAAACATTAAAATCAATTCAATACACTTTTAAACAAACAAGGCATGGAGCCAATTAAGAACTTTTTTTGATATTGCTGTCACAATCAAAAGCATGGCAAATCACACTGATCTTTGCTTTTGGGTGAGCAATCAAAAAAGATTCAACCAAACAGAAATGCTAACCTGTACAGTGAAATGCACCATGATCTGTTCATGAAACAATCAAAATACTATGTTCTAAATGAGACTATTTTTCAAACAGAACCATCTACCAAAAGCAAAGTCCTGTATCACAGTAATCAACAATACTAATTGGCACGCATTTGTCTCACAAATTCAGGCTGTAATCAGCAGCACAAATATGAGTCACCAAAAAGTCACATTCTGTTTTATTACTAGTAGTAAATCTAAACTGCATAAAAAACAGGCACTATCCATACCATGTCCTGTCTCTCCTGCATAGCTAGTTCTTCAGAAATTATTTGCCTGAGAGAAACTTTCTGAATCTGAGCATTCCAGTGATCCATAAAAGGAAAAACGTCTGATGTTGCTGGTTTTTTCATCTGTATGTCATTAGATGTGCCTGAAGCCCAGCTCATTTTTTTCTTCTGTATTTTACTGTCTGCATTCTGAGATAGCAGCATTTCTGAGTCATCTGTATCTATTTGCTGAATCAGAGTAGGACCTTCAAAAGCAATAAAAATGAGGTGACAAATAAAATACTTATTAGCTTATATACAAGCAATGCCAAAATAATTAAGACAAGTTTTTTAACCTAGACAGTTTGAGTTTTGTTAAAAGAAGATTATTAATGCTAAAACAGAAACCAACACGTTGTTTTCACCTTCCTCACTTCCATTTTACAAAGACTGATCATCTTTATCTACTTTGTGAAACAAAAGCAAAACAATCATACTTCCTCACCAAATTTTCAAGTGTTAAGACGTATCTTACAGCTGTAAACTACCCTGTAGATACCTTAAGTGTGTATGTGGAGTTGTTTGCTTTTATAAGAGAATCTGGTTTTACACTTCTACGAGTTAATGGCAACAGCTGAATGAAAACTGGGTTGCCAGAGATGTTAACACTTTTTGAACAAGGCATCCACCTTCCTGCTGCAATCATCTTTGACAAGAACAACATGTGAATGTTGCATTTCTGACCTCCCTCCCTCATCTGCAGAAATCTTACTCTGCTAGTAATTCTCTGACCACATCTTTTCTTGTCACAGATATTACAGAAGTCACCAAACAGCTGTCTGGTTCAGCCAGAGATTCTTTTTAAGTTGTCTGAATTACACAAAATGATAGGCTCTTTGCTTGCATCTGCCTGGTACTAGTGATTCTGCTTATAATTAACCTCTCTCCCCTACCCCACACCTCCACAAGAGAAAGGTAAATGGATCCAAAGGCAATAAAGTTTAGCTTAATAAATGAATCCATCATTTTTCAGACAGAATATCTGCAACATTACTTAAGTTTCAAAGAATTAAATATTTTTATAATGAGACCTAAGTATTTTTACAATTAAGAAAAATATACAACATACCTTCTGCAGACAACTTACATGATTCATCTCTCCTCTGACGCTTCTAAATAAAAATAGTAAAATCATTAGAGTTATAGGTTATAGATTTCACAGCAAAACTGCAAGTAAACTTTTAAGTTTCTAAGTAAGGCAGCTACAAAATAAGATCTCACAGTATTTCCCAAAGATTCAGTATTTTAAAAGTATATTTAAGAAAAGTAATTATGAAGTGGAATTTATAAGCTGGAACTATCTTTCTGAAAATACAAACTAGAGGAATATGCCCCACTGCTAAGACTTCATAACCTTAATTAAATAAACCAAACAAAAATTTTACCCCAAAACACTCAAAGTTTCATATACTATGAAGGAACACAGGTTGGAGAACTCATCTCAATTAATGCACATGGAGATGTTCTGTATACAGAATAATTGATAAAAGAATTCTTTTTACATGTCAAAAAAACAGCAATAAGTTTTGGCCAGTGGAATTTTCGATCAATTTGGAATGAAATTGTGCACTATCATCCTTCTTTTTTAAGAATCTCAGTTTCACGATGAGGCACTCGTGACATACCTTAAAACTTTCAACAGTGTTGATTGTTATGACATACTGATATACTCCACATATTTTAAATTACTATTATATTTTATCATTGTCCTTACACATTTAGACCAAGAAATATGGAGATGAATGGTCTGATAAAGCACAAGTGTGCCATACCACATCACAAGCAAGAAATCTACTAACCAGAATAGATTCTTTCCATTTTTCATGAATCACTTTTGCCAAATTTAGATCAATGTGAACCACACAATCCTCAACAGTCAGTGATCCTTGTGGAACAAAGAAAATATATTCATTAAAGCATTCTACAAAACTCAGCAATTAAAGTACAATAGCCAGGACTTATAAATTCTAGTTCTGGAGATTCTGCATAAACTGTCAGGCTTGAATAAAACCTGCAACTGCCAAGTTCAACAACAACAAAAAAGCATTCCACAGAAATTGTTATCTGGTGTTCAAAAACTCAGAAAGGGTAGGAAAAAAGCAAGTTAACTTTAATTGTATATTGTTGAAATGTGACTACCTGAACAATGGTGTTTTTTCCCTTTTTCCATTTTTCTAGCAAAACCTTCTTTTACAAAGCCATTGTTAATTTACAACAGTTTCATTCGTGAAACTGTGACTCCCCCTATTCCACTGCAATCCACATGGCAACTGCTCTTCTGTGCCACAACACACCCACCACAGCCCAACATCAGTCACATCCCTTCTTTCAAACACACAAACTCAGAGAGTCAAATTCCAAATATCACCTCTAACTCTAAAGAAAATGGCAGGAATCGTCATGGTATCAAAATGATACATCTTTTCCCTAAAAGATCTTTCTGATACTGTTTCTCATCCTTTCAAAACTAAAAAAGCAAGAAGTACATATGTGTCAAATAAAAATACAGGGCATATTTCAGACACAATAGAACACTTTTCTGCTATAGGAAACAAACTTTTTCTTTTGATGAGGTAGGCATGGAAGGCAAAGAGGCCAGCAGTCAAACCCACCAATAAATCAGGTATCTGGGGTATCACATCAAGTAATCTTCAGGATAAAAGAGGAAAAAAAAAAAGAAATACAAAGGGGGGGAGGGGAAACAGAGAGAAAACCACCAAGCTGTATATTCCTTCTATTTTCTTCTCTTCCTTTCTCAATCAGTCTGTAACTTTTGAGATGCTTGTTCAAGCTGCTTGTGGCTTCCTTAATCATCATCTCCCAGCAACAGACTAGTCTGTTTTCATCTTTTAAGTACAGCCACACTTCATCTTCTCTCTAAACCATTTATCTTCTCCTTCCCCAACTTTACTGATGCCTAAAGCTTTCTTTTTTCTTTTTTTCCTAATCAGCCACAATTTGCATATTCCTCATCATCTTAATATCTCTTCAGTTTGAATATAGGCTCAAAGGCCTGTTGTTCAAAATGCAAATAAGTCCATGTATTTTCTTAATATTTTAAAGTATGTACATGTACAAAATACAAAGGCAAACGGTAGCATTACTGCATTTATATTTTATGCCATGCTTAATTCAGTTCCATTTTTGGATTAACAACAGCAAACAGTATCATGAGGAATTATGCAAATCTAATCCCTAAAACTGAAGCATGAAGGAAAAAAAGCACAGGCAAATAAATAAAGGTTTTCTTACCTAAACCAAGGTTTTTTCATAAAAACACAGATATAATTATGCCCATACCTGCATCAATGCCAACAGGCCCAAATATCTCTTTCAGCTGGAGTGCCAGTTCAGGAGGTAATGTTAGTTCTAGGCAATCTATACTGAAAGCTGCATGTGATGCTGGTATAGGGCTTTGTCTCTTGGCTTTAGCTGCAGACCAGCTTGGACTTTCAACTTCTTCTTTACCACATATCTCCTCAGAACTTTCCCAGGTTTCTTTATCCACCTCCATTTCTTTATCACTCCTAGAACTGACCAGAAGCACATGATCCATTTCCAGTAAAGAAGCAGTCACTTTGGAATTCTCTGCATTGCCTTCTGAAGGATTAATGTCACTTTCATTATTTAATCCACATTTCAAATTGGTAGAAGTTGCGTTAGGACCATGAGGCAAAGTCACGGGTGTACAGAAGGCTGCATCAAGTTGTAAAAGTGATGGCTTATTTACAGTTTCTTCAACAAGACTCTCAGACTCCACAGACTGCTTTCCTGAAATGGACAGCTCAGTGACACCTGCTGCTGAGCTGTTTGTGTCGGTTCTAGGGGCTGCGTCCATGGAATTTTTCAGTTCCTCTGTATCATTCAGTGAGGCAGCAGTGAATGAGTCAGGTACATCAGCATCTGTCACAGCTGCCTTGGCAGCCCTACTTTCTGCAATGCTGAGTGATGAGTTCTTACCTTCTGAAGCCTCAGAGATACCACCAGCCCCAATTACTTTCGCTGTTTGTTCACCGTCTTTGACATTCTCACCACAGTTTGTACTTGCCTTGAAATCAAGGTCTGCGACAACTGGCTCAGCTTCTCTTACCTGAAAGCATTCGGTATCAACAGCTTTGCATAACTTTTCTTCAGAGTCTAACAGCAAACCTGTGGCCCAGTCTATGTCTTTGTTACATCTTTCATAGAGATCTTTCAGAGCTTCAAATGAAACAGACTCAAAGAGCTTACACAGTGTATCCAGCTTTTCAGAGTCATCAATATTGGTAAGTTCACTTTCTTCTACAAACGTACTTTTATCATAAGTAACTCGATATGGTATTTTTTCCTGAGAATCTGAGGCATTATCAATGTGTTTGGGTTTGAAGCCATCTAGTCTGCCAAGCAATACTTTGGTAGTGTCAGGAAAAAGCATTTTCTTTTCTAATCTCCACAGGAGAGCAAAGTCCTGTGATTCAGTCTGTGAATGGCTACTTTTTTGTCTACATAAGTACTTGTCCTGTTTCTCTTCTGTAGTGTTAAGGTTAGACAAGTGGTCCTCTTCTTTGGGATGGGGCAAACTGTTGTTTGTAAAAGTGAGGGCTAATCTGTGATGTTTCTTTGTTCTCTTATTTTGCTGGTTTTTTTCCTCACCTCCTGTTTCACTGGCTACTATTTCATCTTGGTGCATAGGAAAACTCTTTATATCTGGTTGCTCTGCAGTGCTCACAGGTGTCCCACAAAGCACATCTACAGTCTCAAGAGCATTTATGTCAATGTCACCTTCAGGATTTCTACCTTCATCAGACTGATTTGTCGTTTTCATTCTCCTTGACCTTTGTTGTCTCTGTTCTAATGAGGCTGAGATAGGCCAATGTCCTACCATTTGCAATTCCAGTGTAACTTTATCTGAACTAATAGAGGAGCAGCTAGAGGCTAGATTTTCTTTCTCATGTCCTCTCTCAACAGTGTATGTCTCAGGCAGGCCCACTTGCTCTTTACCAATCTCAGGATGCTGCTGACACGGAGTTTCACTTTCCTTATCACTCTTCAGAGAAGATTTTTCTAGTCTTCTAGATCTTTTGACTCTCTGTCCCATTGTTTGTTCTACAGGCCAGTCACCCAGGAAGTTTAGTAGTTCAGGTTTCCCTGACGTGTCAAAAGCTGAACTGCTTGGTTCCACTGTGTTACTAGTTTGTGTTGATTTTGGTTCCATACACATGGAACCTGACTGTTGAACTGCAGTTTGAACATTGACAGTGTTGTTATCACTGTGTTCCTCAGCTCCTCCTGTATGCAAATTCGCAGTCTCTTCAGCTGTGATCACATCAACATCATCTATTTCTGTTTCAGCATTTTTTTCTACTTTTTCTCCCTTTTCTTCTTTCTTCTCCAAGGGCAGGTCTTTTTCGATGCACTCTGATAAACAGACATCCAAGTCATCTTGAACAGCACTGTTCTCAGAATTGCGTTCCACTGAGTTATTTTTCATTTCTTTTTCCTCTTGCTGAAAACGTTCAGGATCACAGCTGCTTTCTAATATTAGAGAATTACGGGGAGAAGTTTTATCAACTTCAGCTAATTCAAGAGGCTCCGCATCAAAAGCAAAAGGTGGTTCTTCCTTTGCATCAGAATGTGCCTCTGTCTTTCTGAAACACAAACTGGAATAAAAGATAAACTCATTTCAAACCTTCTTAAAGCATTTGTCTACTTTAACTCCAGTTAGAACTAGAGTGAGAGTTTAACTCTAGTTAGACCTCTAGTGAGAGGAAAACAAATTTACGACAACTTAGCCCTAACTTCAACGCTCCTCTACAAAAAAGAAGGAGCTAAGGAAAGACCAACTTTCCTTGGTAAGTATCCCCTTCTTAATACAGAACAGGACTAAGAACACTTTCTCGGGAGTCAATTTTCCTCCATTCCCAGCATTCAGTTATGTACTGAAACACTCTGCTGCCAGACATTTCCTCATTCAGACAGCAAATCTGGTAAATCTGGTAAATCTTTTATTTAATGACTGTTGTTCTCTCCTGATGCCTTAATGCTAAATAAAATCTAGAACTAGGAGAGCATGTGCCATTTCTTGTCAAACCATTCTTCACAGTCAACTACATTCCATTAATTATCAGTGCCAATTTCATTTCAAATGTGTTAAGCATGCAAAACCCAAATGAAATAATAACTACAATAAAATCTGGGTTCCTCTGCATTATGATACACAGCATCATTCACATTAGCCACTACAAAACAGTCATGTATACAACCAACATAAGTCCAGGCAAGTTTCAATTAAGTATATGGAAGAGCAAATAGCTAACTCTGCATGAAGAATCCACCTTCTACCACAAAGATAACATCAACACTAACATACAGATCTAGAAATAGTAATTTGCTCCTATTTGGGACTACACTCATCTAAAAAGCATTTTATAGATTTTAAGTGCTTCATATCTACAACATACATCCAACAGCATATTTCTATGATAAGAGAAAGTCAGTCAAAATTGGCTTCTTGAAAAGTAACACACAGCCATAATGGGACGATTTCAAAAAGCATTGGAAAGTGACTAGATCCCTTGACTGCTCATTTCTAGAAATCCTGAAATTCTTAAAAATTAGGAAAACTATGTAGTGGTTTTTTTTTTTTGTTATTTAACCCTCTTTTTTAATGCATTCACTGTTCAACAGTATTATTCAGGTTCTGTTGCTAAGAAGTCTGACTTTTTAGCTTTTTATTTGAGGCTACAAAGCTAGTGAAAGAATCTAACCTATGGCTTTCCTCCTGAGAAGGATCTTCACTCCAACCAGCAGCTTCTGATTTGTCTGGAACTGAAGAATCCAATATTGATCTAACAGTAAGGCAGCGTTCATATCGTTCCAACATTCTTTTGATCTTTTCTTTAGATACACCGTGAATGTTTCGCCTATGAATTAAAAAAAAAAAAAAGAAACATTTTGTGTATTAGAATGACAGAAGAGAAAAAGTAAATAATAATTTCATAAATTTACAGCAAGATTAATCAAAGAATTCATGGAGCCAGAGGAAAAGCTGTGAAACAGCAATTCTTTCTGTATCAGTGCATTAAGGTATTCCAAACAGGGCATCTCAGACAAACTGCTGTTCCACTTGACTTCTCCACCCCACTTGGTGTCCCTGTACTGCAATGGGATATTTTGCATATTACTAAAATCTAGAACTTTGACCATAATGCATCATCTTCAAATAAGTTTCAGAAACACGCCATATCAGATCCTGACAGTGATGCAGGATACCAAACTAGATATGGAAGATTTCTGAATTCAGTCTTCTTTCTCTGGTTTTGCTAAACTAAGAACTCCTTGAGCCTTGAGGAAAACCTATTCACCTATTATTTTGGACACGAGTTGGCTTGAAATTTTCACTAACTCTGTTAAACACCAACTAGCACTGTGTTCTGCAGCATTTCCACCTAGAACAAGTGAATCCTGCCAAGGATGGTAAAACAGAAACTGAAGATACAGGAGAAAAGGTTTAAGATCTATTTTAACAAAGAAACTAATCTTCCTTACCTCACTTAAAAAGCGGCCAATCTTGAGCTAAGTATGCAAATTCAGATGACAACAGATATTATGAAATCACAAAATAACTTATGTTGAAAGGGATATCTGGAGGCCACATAATTCAATCTCCTACTCAGAAGAGGTACAGCTAGATCAGCTTGCCCAGAGCTTTCTAATGTCCAATTTTGATATCCCAAATGACAAAGTCTACAAACTCTCTGGGCAAACTCTTTCAGTACATAACCAACTTCAAAGCAAGTTTTGGGTTATTTTTCTTTCATGTAATCAAAATTCCTGAAGTTTCAACTTGCTGATGTTTGTTTTGCCCTATCCCTGCAGAGTTCTTCTTCGTCTTCTCTATAACCTCTCAAAAGGTAGCAGAAAACAATGTAATCCTTCCTTAATGTTCTCTTCTTAAAGCTGAATAAACTACCCTTGCTCAGTTCAGTATCATCTTCAAATTTTCTATGAGCGCACTCTGTCCCAGAATCCAAGTCATTAAAAGGACATTAAATAGTTGCAGTCCTAGTATTCATCATAGGGGGACATCAGCCTTCACTCCGGACTTTGGACACTGATCATACCATTTAAACCTGGCATCCAGCCAATTTTATACTTATTATTCACTTACATAGGGATTATGTCTTGCTTATTTTGGCTCTAGGTAACAGAAGGTCCTGCTAAAGAAGAGGTAAGCAACAGTGGTGAGGCACAGGGGTTTGCCCCTCTCAGGTCATGAGGTGCTGATTGCCCTAAACTCAGTGACAGCAGAAACCTTTCAATTAAGGCAACAGACCAGCTGGATGCAAAACCAGCCCCAAATGGACATCATTTTTCCAATCTCAGGAACCCAAAGAAGAGTCACTGTACTTTAAACACAAAGAACTTGGAATAATGAAAACATCACATAATAGCTATTGCTAACAGTATCTTTTGTAGGTAATTAAACTAAGGTGACAAAAAAATCTTTTAATACATAGAAAATCCCATAAAAGTTAATATTGTAGAAAAAGAATGTTAAAAAGCTACTTATTATCACCAAAATCTGGACTAGTATCTTGCTACTTCATTAGCCACTGTGCTAAGTGATACCTTTTTAAAAATCATAGTTTATAGACTGTAAAAGATATACTGTCTAAATGTGGTATTCTCCTTTAAAGTCTTACCTTTCAAGTTCTTTTGGTTTAAACTTCCACCAAGTGTCTGGTTCTCGGAACATTACTTCATATTTGAACTGCTGAGCCTGAATAAAACAGATATAACAAAGAACAAGCCACATCACCCATTTCTTATTTCTATGACAAAGCACACGATATGCATAGTCTGCTTTTTCAAAGCTGTTTTTCATATTTTTTGATACCTGTTAAATACTTGGAATAACACTTCCATTCAGTGTTTCACTTATGCTTATGTAAATGGAGATTTTTAAAAACATGGATATGCATCTCTTACTGTAAAATTAAATGTGTGCCATGAATTGCCTCCTCTGAGACAAGACTGCAGAACATCTCCTCTTTCCAGATACAGCATGCATATGTCTATGCAGCCTCTCGAAGACAGAGAAAAGCTCTCTGCTTACATTCAGAGCTGACCAGATCCAAACCAGCTCCAAAACAAGCAATTCAGTTACATTAACACAGCTATTGTGGATGACCTTCCTGCCACATGGGAAACTTGAGTGAGCTGCAAGTAAATGGTTCCTATATGGTCTATTCTCACCATGACAGAAAAGGAGCCTAAGTCTAATCAGGAGAAACACTGAGTAGTACTGTGCTGTTTCTCCCCATTCCTGCTTTCAGAAAAAATTCCTGTCATCTTACCAAAGAACTTTTGTTGCATCTTTATTTCAATATACAGCAAAATCAAGGACATAATTTATGAAAGAACTGCTAATCTGACGATTGTTAATAAATGCAAGGAAACATTTTATTAATAAAAACTATCTGTGTTAAGTCCCACTGTTCACTAATCCCTTACCACATGCAGCATATGTAGAGGATCTGCTTAAAAGCTATCAATTCTATGTACCACACTCTCTGATGTCTTTCTATATCATGTAAAGAGAAATCAAAGATCTACTTCCTAATATTTCTTCCAATATATTATTTCTGTTAATTACAACCAATTTCATAAAATAATGCAGTTCTATAAATACCAACCAAAACACTGAATGCCCAACAGCAAAATAAGAGCTAGAGTCTGAAAGTGCTGATGCCCATTTAGAAACTATTAAATGAAAAGGTGAGAAGGTCATAAAACTGGAGTATGAGAAACCTATAACAGAAGTTCACCAAGTTATTTAAATAATTAAATATAACTTTGGAAGTTGAATGTAGATTGCATTAACTTAATAAACTAAAGCAGGTCACTTTCAGTCACTAAATAAAAGCACCACACTCCTACCATAAAATAGTGCAGGTGCATTATTTTGATTACATGGCTTCAGTAAAAAACATTAAGTAAATCTGCATAGCTTCAAGCAAGCTAGCAACATCTGATAACTCTAGACTTCCAACTGGTCAGCTGGTATCTGTCTCTATGTCATATTTAAGGTGAAACAGAGGCTGAGTCTTCAAGTTTCACAGAGCATCAAATATCATTCTTACTGATTAATGTTGATTATCTTTTAAAGTAGATTCTAATGTTACTAATCATATGAAAGAGGAAAAAAATTTATTTATTTTTGGCCTCAAGTACAAAGTACTGGGCTTTGCCTCTTGGAAGCCCGGTCAGGTCAATACTTGAATATGCACAGAATATGACACTGGGTAATATGATTCCATGTAACACGTTTTTTACTCCAAACTTCACTGTGGAATAGCACCTAGACTGAGAAAGACAATCCCCTATTAAAACAATGTTGTTGCCGTCCTGGTCAACAATCTCTTTTCACATTGGTCAAAGTGTAATACTAACCAAAGTAACATAAGGCTTCATCTCCCATGCTTGTATGTTTGTGTTGTCTATAATTATAGGAGTGATTCCCATTTCAAATGCTTCTTTGGCTGAAAAACACACGTACAAAAGAATGTGATACAGTTAATTTCATTATAATAGGGTGAACACATAACATTTATACTAATTCTCTAAATTTGTTTTATTTTGAAGTAGATAATCCACAATGATTAACCACTGTGTGAAAAACTGTTGCCACAGCTTGATCTCTTCCAAGACCCTCTATTTCAGAAATCCCCCCTCACACATAAAGCTACTGAGATATGGCATTATTCTTTTGAATTAAGGTAGGTACAATAACCAAGGAATGAAAATGCAGATGTAAAATGCACCAAGATGACTAATCAATCAGTAAATTAAACTAAAAAAACCTACATGATCACCTTAAAGTGGACTTCATTGTTGCATACAAAATTCTTGGCTTTATAACAGTCTTAAGATTAGCCCACTCTGTAAACTGTATAAAATACGAAAAATCAAATGAATTATTGTAATTTAAATACACAGTAATGAAATGTTTAGAATCACTAGCTTTGAGACACAGCATCATGTTTCTATGTAGCTATGTTACAATGAGTCTGAACAATCACATTACTTGTTGAACCATATACTTCTATCAACCCAGTTCTCCACTGGTAGAAATTTGACAGTAGAAAAGTGATCATGGTTCAAATTTAGCAAATGAAAGCTTTAAAAGAGTTGTTCTGTGGGGAGTTTAGCATAAGGCACTGTCAAAAAATAAACTGATTATGGAAAAGGGAAAAAAAAATTCTGTCTTGCTCTTGTAATTTAGTTTTAAATTTCCCAACAATTTAATGCTCAAGAGAAAAAAGGTAATGAAGAGCAGGAAAATATCTGTGTTACTTGTATCAACATCCTCATTACTTATGGCATATGCATATTATAATGGATCATCTCAGAAGTAGTACTTCTGGGAGAGGGTATAGGTAACCACTCCAGCAAGGGGACACAAACCAAAATACACATCATGACAAAACCTGAGGAAAAAATAATCTTGTGACAAAAACACAGGCATTTTTAGTTGCAAAACACACAATGAATGGATGACTTCTGAGTTTGTGCTCATACTATTTTTCCACACATATTAAAAAATACTTCTATGATGGGATAAATGCTTGTCCTGTGATGCAGGCATTACAAGCCAGGCAGGTTTTTTTAAACAGCACACAAGCACTGAACTGTAAATGAGCAAGCTCATCCCTTATTTACTTCTCACCTCGTTTCCTGTTCCAGTCATGCGCTTCCCCTAAGCAATTGGGATCATAATGGTATTGTCCATGTTTATTAAAGTAATCATCAGTACTAAGAATTACTCCACCTGGGTTATCCTCAAGGATATTCCTGTGAAAGATCAAGAAGTAAATAGCTTTTCCCCCTTCTTCTCCCAAGCCCTGATACTTTGCTACCACACATACATTTTTTTTAGTCTCTTGCACAAAACCAAGATTATTTGGAATGGAAGCAGCAAATTTAGGTGAGGGGAAAAAAAATCACCCTCCGGGCAAATAGTCTATATTATAGGTCTATAATACTTTCTGTCCTTTTTCCAAAAGCTGAGGATTTATCTAGGGGAGAGAGCTCACAGAGGTTCCCTTCAAGTCTCATTTCAAAAAAAAGAAGAGAGGTATTTTTCCATCTACATGAAATGACACACTTTCACACTGACAAATACACAGTCTTAATTGCACCAAATGTTTCAAGTGCCAGCCAGTCTAAGATCAATCTAGGCTTTTGGAAAGTAAGAAAATATATAAAAAATTCACCCCAAGAAGCTTCACAAATACTATTTATACAAAAGAATTCCCACAGTGGAAGGGGAATTTCTGCCTGTAAAGAACAGGCAGAAATGTATGGCACATTTCCATAGATGTTATTCGAAGGAAACACCTGAAATAAACAGGGACTAGAAGAACACAGCAGATCCAACACTATGGCAATGGTACTCTGCTGACAAACTCCTTCATCCAGTGACAAGTTAAAGCTCACCCTTACTACTTCAGTTTTCACTAGAGGTCAAGGAGCTGCAAGTAACTCGGCTCCCAGCAATTCTTAGTCATCACGCTGCATGTACTGTGGCATTTAGGGTATAAGCATAAATATTTACAAATGTCAGAAAATTGTCTCTGCCTGTGCTAAATCCTGTAAACAATTAAGCGATTTTTTTTAGAAGCTCACAATATAAATGTTCTACCTTGCCAAATATGATTTTCCTGATCCTGGAACACCTCTGAGAAGAACAAGTACTTGACCTATAAGATGCATCTTTTTTCTCATCATGTGACAAACACGTGGTTGCTGTACTTGCGAGAGGTTCAATTTTGAGTTTCTATCTTGATTTCCCCATACCTTCAGAGAAGGGTTGCTATCCCAGGCATTTGAAACCACTGGGGAGGAAACAAAAAGTCCTTTTTCTGAAGTCCTACAGTCTGAACCAGGTCTCCACTGCCCTGGACTGGCAGCCACAGGAACTACAAAGCTGTGACTTCTACTGGATGGATAAAACACAGGAGCCATGAGATTCCAGCGTTGCTGTGATTGACCTGATGGTGTAGAAAAATTTAAGTTATAACCCTGCTGAGTTTGCTGAACATCTGCAGGTTTTTGTGTTTTCAAACTGGATGTTTCAAGAGAGACATATGCCTCTGGAAGAGAAGTGCTCTGGTAGCTGTTAAAGGCAGTCACTACCTCTTTGGGCTGTTCCAGGCACCTTGAATTAGGATCTCCAGTGACAGTTACTCCAAGTTCCAGAGGGCTTTGGGAGGACTCACCAGAAAGAGGAGTGACACTACTTTGATCCAAAACAGTATCTTGTGTCTGATCAGAATTTTCAGATGATATTTCTCCATTTAATTGTTTGTACACTTCTGAAGCTACATCATGTTGAGCATGTATTTCCAACAAATCAGAATCTTCCATTATCTGTGTAAAAGTGCCTGATGCAGCCGGTGAGCTTGTCTGGATGCTCAGCTGACTCACTGGTGGCTGAGAACAGAAGTTTTCTAAAACCTCATTATTTGTCTCTGCTTGCTGTGGAAAAAATAGGACATTGCGAACTGAATCAGATTTCTCCCACTCGGAAAATTCAATTAAGCCATCGTGCTCCACAGGGTGCTTATGTACTATTTGGTCATTTGCAGAATTAGGTAATTCATCACTTAAGCTGTAACTCTGAAAGGCATTTTCTATTAAGGAATCCAGTTCTTCAGTCAGCTGCACATCAGATGACAGGACCTTTTCTATGGCTTCTCCAGGTTTACTTTGTTCTGCAGTACTTTCCACCATTCTTTCATTTGCAACAGACCTTTGCTGATTAACAAGAGCTAATGATGCTGCTGCTGAATCAAAACCCAAGGTTTTTGAAGATGCTACTCCTTTGGCATGAGTGGACAGCTCTAGAAGATGATCCATAGCATTTTCTACTGTTGAAAAAGGTAAAGAGAATAAAACATGGTCAATGAACAAACCCAATATGAGGTACATGCAATTTTTTTACTTGAAGAAGCATTTATCACCACTAAAGAAACAACCAAAAGACAGTTTACCAATTCATCTTTAAACACACCTTCTGCAACTCCCTTGATCTCATTAGAAGGCAGAACTTAATACAGACATACTGAAAAATAATAACCTAATAAGCGTAAAAATTACAAAGTTTAACTGGAAAAAATATCAGCACTGGATGTTTAAATGGACACTTATTTCTAAACTGTCTCATATAGGTGAAGTAGTGTAAAAATAACAAAAACTACTACTGAGGACGAAAGAGATAAAAGTCCATGAAATATGTTCATTATGGCCCAATTTAAAACATCCTGAAAAATCCAGTATCTGCATTAATCTTTGTAAAACCTCTAAACAGGTTGCCAGTGATCAACAATATGAAAACCTGGCACAAGTACTATCTGAGTCCTAAGGCTAAGTTTCTGTTTTCCTGAAAGACAGTGCAGCAAGAAGTCTAAGTCCATTAAAGTCCAACTCTTTCTCCATACACGTTAAACAAAATCCCCATCATCCTTCCATCTTCTCAACTATATGGGAGCAACTTACTACTATATGAAAATATGTTAATCTTTCCATTTTTAAACTACTATTGATAGTACAACACTATCAATTCCACGTGTTTACTGAATTCTCCAATAAGCTTTATATAAATCTGTTATTTTGATAAAGGTGAATCTTATTAAATAAGAGTTCAAAGCATGAATTGGTAATTCCATCAAATTCAATTTTAAAAGGAACAACAATCATAATAGCACTCTCACTTTTTTATTCAGTTATAAACTGTACAATTTAGGCAATAAAAACAGCTCTTTTAATGGCTACCTAGCTTTCACATATATAAAAAAAATTGCCAAACTCTGCCTTCTTTCAAATATTTTTAGAAACATCTCAGCTAATCATATCTGATCATAGAAATATAGATTGATTAAAATGCTCCATATATGACATTCTCCTGGCAAATAACTCTTCAGACGTTGCTATCCAGCATCTCATCCAGTATTTTCATTAAAAGCAAGTGAACTTGCATATAGAAGAACTTTAAAACCACAAACAAATAGAAAGGACTGGGCATAAACATGAAAACAGTCTGCCAGGAGAGGTGAGTACGTAGCTTGACAGAATACAGGGAAAGAAACACAGTTAAAGCAAGGCTGCAGAGAATTAAACATGACAAACAGAATTTATCCTGCAAAAACTAATCCTCAGTGGAGATGACAGTGCAAAATAAAAGTAAAACAAAAGCTCAGTTCAAGTATTAAAAGAAAAGCAGCTGTCAAGATCACACATGGCACACCATTAAAAAATTGTCATCTAGAATATAAAATATCCCTCCTGCAGAAACAGTTTAGGCACCTTGCAGATATGCACAGAAACTAACTGGAAAAAACAGATTCTTCTCACAACTCCACTACTGCCTGCTCTGTGTCATAGAACAATCCACTCTCAACTGTACCTCCATTTATGAAGCACACCGCTCCATTTACCAGCCTCACAGAAACGTCAAACTTGAAGAATCTTGCCTGGTTGTAAAATTTCAAAATATTATGACTCACTTACTCATTAAAAGCTAAACTCACAAATATGCTTGCAACACCCCCACCAACTTTCGTGGAGTCACCCTAGTTTAGAGCTGTCTGCATATAAAACAAAACTGTAATGCCAACTGTATATTATTTACCTTTAAAATCGCATTCAGACAGAACCATATAAACCACGCTAGGATCTAGGATAGAAAACATCTCTGACATGCTGTTGAAAAGCTCTTCCTTATTGACATAATGCACTGCTTGAGACATTAAGTGACTTGGGTCCCCTTGGGATACAGCAAGAGCAGTTCTGTCAGAATTGCCACTCTTCTGAGAAGGACTCCCACCAGTTTTCCTTCTCCGTGGCATTTTGTTTTCTAAAAAACAGCGTGCTTTTTGTTTTGGTTTGTTCACATGAGGCTGACAGCACCAGGCTCAAAAGTCACAAAAAAAGCTCTCATAACTGGGACAGACATAACAGAAACAGCAGACCTGGAACAAAAAGAGAAGAGAGAAATTTCAGTAAAATACAGTCACATTTCCATGTCTCCTATTTAGATAGTTAAAAGATCAAAAACTACAAAAGCATACAGGCAAGCATTTTGTAGAAGTCTGCCTTTCTTCTTTTCTAATGGCTGAAAGCTAAAGAGTAGCCTTATTTTCCAATTAACTAGATATTGAATCTGCATCTGGAAGAGAGAATAAGTAAAACACAACTTAAAGGAAATCCAGAAGAGTAAAGTTTGCAATGCAAGGCAGTCAGTTCACAAATATTCTTTTGCTCCTGATGATCAGTTAACATTATGGAAAATCTATGTTCTGCTAGAACATAGATTTCTGCTATGTTCAGAAATTTTACTCCTCTTACAAAAGTACTGGAAAACCAAACAGACATCTCCAAATCTTCTAGAAGTCTTCATGACTTCCCTCCACCCATGATCTTTTAAGAGTAAACAGTTGGGGTTCTTCAATATTGAAACACAGGCACAGGTTGCCCAGAGAGGTTCTGGAGTCTCCAATCACGCAGATTCCCAAAACCTGACCAAACACAGCCCTGCTTGACCCAGGCTGCTTCAAGGCTTGGGCAACCTGCTTCAAGCGCCCCTGCTCGAACTGCTGGGATGAACGAGATGACACTCAGAAGTGCCTCGGCCTGTGTGAACTTTATTTCATTATTAACATTGTTTATAAACCATGAAGCAAAGAGGCTTCTGTCCACCCTCCAGAGTTCTGCCACGAAGCCTTTGAACACATCTAGTTAAAACATTACGGTATCTATAACTGCAATTATTGCCTTAATCTTGTATAGAAAAGGAAACCGATTATTAATTGAAATACACACACAATGGCATGTTCTTCCTTTCTTTATATAAACATCAAAGCTCTCTTGTGCTCTGGTGGTGGTCATAATAAACTATATTTTTTACAAATAATTATTCAGAAGACTAGCAAACCTTAGTAAGGCTCAGAATCTGAAGCTAATTACAGCAAAGAGTCACTGTTTATTGATAACAGTTATGGATCAGGCCACAAAATACCTGTTTGTAAAGACTATTTTGCCAGTGATGATCAAGTCAACACATGAAGATAAATCAATGGCAGCACTTCCACGTCCACTTAGTCCTTCCCTCCCTGGATCTCTGGCACAAATGAAATGCCAGATTAGTGGCAGATTCAGACAGCACATCTCCATTATTCTCTAACAATCTCCTCCAGCAACCAAGAGAAGTAACAGTTAGCAGAAGGTGGGCTGTTACATTCCGAAGTCACAGAAACTTAAGAAAGCAAAACAGACAACTCCAGAATCTACCACATGTACACGGACCTTACACAGAAAAATGAGACGGATGTCTGAAACAATGAAGAGGTCAAGAAGTCTGAAACACACAAGGAAAACAATACACAGGAAAAGGAAGAAGTAGACTTCCAAAAATAAAGGAGAAACCACAGTGAAAAATGCTAGTTATCCAGACTGAGCTGGGACAATTGCAGCTGTTTTTTTCATCAAACATTTTTTCGTTCACTCTCTGATTAGTCATCCTTACACCATTCTTTACCATCATGAAAAAGTATTCAACAATCAAAACAAATTACAGCAAGTCCCATCTTTCAAATTTTTATTTCTAATTCATTCATCCCCTAGCCAGTAAAAAAGGTTGACCTAACTTCACACACTGTCAATGCTAAAAAATGTGATTGTTCCTAAAAAACAGGTTCAGTGACAAAGAAAATATCCTGCAAGGGAGAAAGTTTTTCATGTTCTTTGACATTACTGTGCAGCAACACTTTAAGCAGAACATTTCAAGTGTTGTCAGTGTTTTAATTCAGCTCTCATATAATGATCAATCCTGTAAGGACCTGCTGCTGAAAAACGTGCTCTGTAGCGAGGACTTTATACAATTGATTGCCTTATCTCACTGCAGGATGTTCCTGCATGTATTTCCTGCATTGGGCTGTGTATCCCACTATATATTAGGATGCTTTACTCTAAAAAAGCCACACACTTCATTCTGGATTAATCTAAATCAGCAAATCTGCAGTGCATTGCTTCAGGATTATTAAGGCCTAAACTGTCAATCACAACTAATCACAGAAGAGGAAAGATGGCAGAAGGGAAAATGACATCAGTCACCTCAGAAATTACAAGCAGGTCAAAACCTTGGTGACTCCCACCATGTCCCAGTATGCTAAGGCAATGCACAGATCCACACTTCATTCCATCTCTCCATCTTCAACCTATCAAAAATATAGATCCTCATTTCCCAGTATTTCACTTAAACAGGGTATTTATCATGGTCAGTATCTCAAGACAGATATTTTGACAGAATCTCCTTTGTTTATCACAATATAGACAGATTCCTAGGAGATAGCTTCTGTTGATACTACCAAGGACAATTAAAATATATAGAAATAAATGCTGATGAATACTTGTTATGCAGGGGGCCTGACATGCAAGCTGCAGATTGAGACTGAAATGCAGACTGGGCACTGAGTAGGGAGCCCAGTCTCTGGGATAACAAAGGACATGAAGATGGGTGACAGCCAGCCAGGTGAATGAACAGCTAAAAGATACGGCAAGAGCTGGGAACTGTGAAGCCAGCAAGGTGGATGGACACGGAACAGTGAGTGAGGGGGGCAGGAGGGGAGAACAGAAAGAAGAATGGGACTGGTGCTCAGAGGAGACTGTGAGGGTATAAAAGCTTAGGGATTCTCGGGTTTGGGGCTCTCCTCAGAGGGACTGTCTTGAGCTGTTGCTGTGATACTGTGCCAGGAATAAACTGACTTATGGCATGTGATGTCTTGGACTCTGCTATTGGAAATCTGGGGTCGAACCAGGAAAGAAACCTGGTCTGGCTGCGTGTAAGTGGGCACCAGTCAGCTCACTGGAGCCACCCACCATGAAGAGGGCCTTGGTCCAGCAGATAAAGTCTCTGGCAGTAGGAGTGTGACAGCCAGAGTGCCTCATGAATGGTCAGACTGGGAAGTTTCCTTAACATAGGTGCCTGCACACAAACAAAGCACACTTTAATATACTTCCTAAGAGATAACACTAGTGCACTCAACTGAAAGGAGCAATTTTCACTTGCATTTAAGAGCACGCCCTGAACTTTACAAAGGGTTTTTATCTAGGGGCTTGCCTTTTTATATACTTATGTTTCTTTTTGACTATTACCTTTACCAAGAAAGAGGAAATAATTCCAAATAACCCAATAGCCTGATATGTGGCTCAATTACATTCATTGGTTCTGTATAACATAATATGAATCAGTCTGCAGTTTGCTGTGGGTGGGGGTGGTTTTTTTCCACCTGAAGATGAAAATAGAGTTGTAATAACATGATTAGGAAGAGCAGGGCTGTGTTGAACACAGTGATTGGGAATTCTAGACAATTAGTGAGAGGCTGCAATGTACTCAGAGGTTCAGTAGTCAGTTCTGGGTACCACCATCTGACACACATCCAGTCAGAGCAAACAGCTGTTTCATTTCAGCACAGATAAAAAACAATACTGCTGTGAAAAATCTCAACTTTACCTTTAAAAACACAACAAAACAAAATCCCTAAGCACTTCTTCACACACAGTTCTTCAGATATACACAGCTCCTGACATTAAGGATCCCCTCACAATGTAATTCAACTACCATAAACAAGCACATATACAAAAATATGCCTGTAAGAAAATTATCTTCCAAATTATGCAATCTTACAAATAAAGCAGATATTAAGATACCTGCATTCTCTACAAAGTAAGATAATTTTCAAATGCTACTAACCTAGGAAAGAAGAAGTAGACTTGTCAGGTCAGGGTGCTTTAACATCACCATCTTTCTAGCTGGCCAGAGTTTATTTCTGATGGTAGATTACGAGTCTCAGGTGATGCCTGTTCCAGTACTGCTACCCCCCTAAGGAGCTGGACAGATGCATCATAGACATTCTGCAGATACAGACCAGATATTATTACAGGCAATCCAGTCACTACAGAAACAGGCAGGCACCTACATAATCAACCTAACACAACACATTCTTCTTTTCTGTTTGACAGATAGAACAATGAAGTGTTGAGAAGCGGCCAACCTGGCACAGCAAGATGATGGACCAAGATATCAAGTCTCAATCTCAGCATCTTACTAACAACATTCAACTTTTCTTTTCGGTGAAAAGGAAACCAATCATTTAATAAACTAGTTCTAAGAATGCATTTATAACTCCCATGGGGGACTTAACTGTAAGGTGTCCTTAGAAATATTCAAAGTGCACTCTTACTGATGACACGTAATCTAAAGAACGCAAAACATTTAAACCATCAAAACAAAAATCTAAGGGGGAAAAAACAATCCCCAAGACTCTCCAAAACAGAATCCATTATTTTTAAAATATCTAAGTTTTCATTTATTTTAGGAAATAACCATTAACATACACCTGCCACACACAAGTCACCACATTGCTAACCAGTACAGTCATGTCAGCAAACTTTTTGCAAAGTATTCCTAGTACTTTGAAAAAAGTTTAAAAAACAAGGCTACAAATGTATTTTCTAAAATTAAAGTAAAAGGCATGAGTGATGTTTGCACTGAGACTATATTAAATTTGTCCAGCTAAACAGCCCTCATTTTCCATAGTAAAAGCCAGAAAAACTCCCTGGCTTTCTAAGAACTCCTATATATTGTTAAAGAGACGTATTTTTACAAAATCAGACAAAAGCTACTATGAAGAGTATTAGGCACCGACTGTTGTAAAATTTCTGGAAAAATAATATAAATCTCAGGCTTGTTTCATTCTCAGTGTAATATAAAAACGTTTATGTAGTTACTGAATAAAGATCTGATGAAGAGCTGACACATGTCACACATCTACACTGGGATGTCTTCTTAGAAACCATGCGTGGTAGCTTGCCTTTTCAGGATATGTCAAAATTCTCAAGTAATTGGACTGACTGCAAGTTCTTTTGGAAACCAGTAGTATTCAAGAAGAGACAGAACATACAGAACAAAGGAAGAAATACATTAAACTATTTTTGAAGTGAGTTAGATAGTTGATACCAAAGTATTCACAAAGCTCTTTACATCAAAGATACTGCATCAGCAAACAAACAACAGTAAATATAATTTTTCAAAGTCATTACAAGAACTTCTTTTTTAAGTAAACAGACCACTGTTCTAACCACTACAGAAAATTTACTAAAAGCACTAAGCAGCACAAGACACTTCTAGTTTAACTGTGATCAACTTCAAATGACAAATGTTATCAAAATTATTCCTATTCTTCTTTTAAGGACAGAGGAAGTCTCCAGCCTTGACACAATGTAAGATTCAAGCAATATGAATAAAGCTGCCTGATTTACATATATTTTTAAATGTCTCTGAACAATTTTAGGAAGTTAACTCCATACATATAAAAGAGGCTGGTTTAGTTTTGGTTCTTTGGTGGTGGTGGCTTTTTTTATTATTTTGGTTTGCTTTTGAGGTTTTTGAAGCATATTTTAATTTTAAATTATATAAAAAATATCTCATGTAATGTTCATATTTATCTTCCAGCTTTTAAAAACCACATATGCACATATATAGTGACATGATGGGGACTGAAAAAAAATCTCAACTGGTAATACAAATAAAATAGCAATGGCACAGAACTTACATTTTCAGCTTCACTGAATTGTTCTGCAATGGGTGTCTTCTCATCTTTCCAAAACCACCACTGATGGCACGTTTAATAAAGATCTGCTGTTATAAAATATAATGCACTCTTCTGTCAGGAAACCATGCCTCCCAGCATAGAAATCAAACATCAGCAGAAGTAGATTCTTCCTCCTGACAAAAGAATAAGCAGCATGCAAATTAAAATTTGCATTTTGCTCACTATAAGCAAAGTTTTAAACACTGAGCAATACACTTAATTGGTTTTAGTAAATTAAACACAGCTAATACTTTAGCTAAGTACCCAATATACCAAGTTGAGCTCAAGTGTAAGTCTTCCAAGGATAAAAATACCTACTTGATTTCAGCTTTTAACTGATTTTCAGGCTGACTTACGTTAGGTAAACAAATAACATTATGGCAGAAAAATTAGTTAGAAATAAACGTAAGTTTCCTCACTTGCCATTCCACTTGGTTCTTCACCACAGTTCTTAACCATCTTGAAAAGGTCTACATATCCATGCTGGTCAAGAACAGATTTGTTCCATCATGTGGGAAATTTGGCAAAGAAAACCTGGTACATCAAAATAAGATTATGTTACTTATACCACTTATTTGCGATGCCCTACTGATGCTAAAGAACTGCACTTCTGTTCATCAAGTGGATTTAAACCCCTAAACCACTGTGTACACACTGAAGATGTTTACATCTACTCAAAGTCTAACTTAATTCCAGTGTACATATTACCCTAGAGCTCATGCCTGACAACAGTCTTGTGCTTTCAAAGTAAAAAGAAATAAAACCAAACACCAAATTAAGCATATATACCTAATCAGGCAAAGAATATGAAACAACTATTCTGTCACACTCATAACATGACAGGTTGATGGCTCAAATACTTTATAACATTCTTCACAAGAGATGAAAAAACCCATCTTGCATTTTGCATGTGACCTCATGCCACTACTCCTAAGCAATAAGAACTGGCATCAAAACATACAGAGCACTTCATGTAAGCAAGAACTTGACCATGAGTACCCAAATTTACAAAGGATAGGACAGGTTGCAGACACAGAATATTATTCACCTCACTCTCAAACACATGGATTCAGAAAAACCACACCAGGAAAGGCTGAAAGCCATTCAGTGGTTTTACAGATCAACTTTTTAACAAAGGTTATTTCCACATTTGTTCATTTGCGTTTTGAGGTTTCATATATGGAGCAAAATAAGCATTTAAATACCAGCACAAGAGAAAAAAGCAGCCAATGAAATCAAACTGAGACCAACTCATTGCACTTTCTAGCTGTACTTATAAAAAAAAAAAAAACCTTTCCTTTTGGAAAAAAATCAAACCCCCCCCCCAAAAAACAAAAAGGAAAAAAAAGGAAAAAAAAAAAAGGAAATGGCTTCCAGCAGATTTTTTTCAATAAGCCTGAGTAGCAAAGGAGATGGTTTAGGAGCCTTTTGTGTTCTTCCACTTCTACCAGCAGCCAGCAACAGAATGGGCCACCTAAACACTTTGTTATTGAATGTGAAAATCGATACCCAGCTAGAGACAAAGTGCTTCTAAAAACACTTCACGTGTGTGTTCTGCTCTTCCCTTCTGCCCCTCACTATTATTCCCACTGGTTGTTCCAAGGGCTTTGACTAGTTCAACAGTTTGAAGTAAGATCCTCTTTTTCACATCAAATTCTGTCAAAGTGCATGACATCGACACATAGAACTCATTCTTAACTAATGTGCATAAACTTGCCTTATGCAATCTGTTCTGCAAGGATTTTTTTTCACTTTTATGATTTTAAAGTCTGATCCAAGCCATACAGATTCTTTTGAAGCTGCTACAAAAAAAAAAATAAAATCTTCTTTTCAGTATGAAACAAAAATTTCATCCAACTACACACACAGTTCCAGAGTACAAAACCAGCACAAACTCATCAGAAGTAGATGCTTAGGAAGTAAACAGAAGGAAGAACAGAGCCTGTTTGCTAGGATGGACTCAAAAGCTCTTCTCCACGTGCCAGGTCACGAAGAGAAGTCAACCTGCAGTGGCAGTCAGCTGGTATTTGACAGGTGACTGGAGCTGCAAACTCCACATCATGCAGTTTCCTTTTAAGCCGGGAAGCTGGTCTTGCTAGAAGCCCTCCATACACATGAGCACAGGCTCATGTACACCACGTGCTGGGTGTACATGATTGAAGTAGCAAGGTAGGAGGAGGGAGAGCCATCAGTGATCTTGTTCTCCAGCACCAAGTCTGCTTGAAAAGAACTACTTTTGTACTCACCCTCCTTTTGCTGTGCGCTAAAGGTCAAAGTTTGGCCTTCGGATTATGGAAAGTGCAGATATGTAAGCTGACAAGCTGGAAAAATCAACAAGCAGTTGTTTTCCTTGTTTAGGTAGAGTGTTGTTGCTTGTTATGTTTTGAGTTCATGCATTTTTTTCAGAAAATAGTAATACAGAGTATCTGCAAAATGTCTTTCCAGCCCTAGACGAGTTTAGAGTTAGTTGATCCTTTCATAGCTTCCCTCCTACGTCCTTTGGTAGCCTCCATACAGCTCACAGCCCTCTCGAACATGTGGATGTAAGGGTTACCCATGGTGAACTCAGCTTTGAGGAGAGCTCTCTCTTCCAGGACGCAGAGCTCTCAAGCTGCCTGGGCTGTCCACACAGCTCAGCTACACTGCCATGGCCTATGCCGGGCCTCCAGAGCAATGCCACAGGCTGCAACAAAGACCAGACTCATGTTTATGGTGGTGCTTCCGCAGTTTCACACCTGCAGTCAGTACTACTCCTTAAGGTTGTATTCCTGCTCCACATCATGAAACATAGAGAGGTATTTGGAAAGGGGAAAGAGAACTCCTCCCAGGTGGGGCTGTGACTTCCCACATAATGCTTCCAAAGCCTGGTCAAAACTCAGGCTGAAGGGCAGTGAATGAAACCAAGACATCTCTGGAGAATTAACATTTCCTCAGCATTACAGAATTTCCTTTCATGTTGTCTCCAGACGAACTTTCATAACTGTCTCTGAAAAGCCTTCCTAAAGACAGCAGTGCCTGGATCTTGTAATTCAAGGCTTGGGGCCTGAGTTGCAGGAAATAGTTTGTAATCTTTTATAAACTGCAACTCTGGCACTACCTAGCTAAGCAGCTACGCCATAGTACATTTGAGGCTGATAAAAAAAGGAAAATGTAAAGATTTTTTTTTTCTGTGACTAATACCTGGCCAAAGGATGAGCATTTATTTTAGTGCTTGGAAAGCCAGCAAAAGGGTGGCAGTGAGGGTGAGGACTGGTTCTATCAAGATGAGAAGATACTGTAAAAGAGGAGTATTACTGAAGATCACAAATGATGCTTATTATTATGGGCACACACATGCAGGTGGCATTATGGAGGAAGGAAAAGTGGAACATTAAAGGAATACTTTAATTTAGACTTTTCTGCACTGGCAGCAGTCAGGGCTGGCAATAAATGCAAATACTACTTCCCCAAATCTTGGCTTGCTTTAGCTGTTGTTGCAAATGAAAACAGGTTTACTTTCTTCTTATATATGATGCTGCAATTCCAACACACCTGGGAACAAAGGGAAGAGTCTGTCAAAGACTGAGGCTCCAGAGCATGAATCTTCAGACCTCTGTAGACACCTAACAGGGCTTCAGCAATGTGCCCAGGTCTTGGTTCTGGTGCTTCCACATAGGCTTCCACAAAAGTTTCTCAGCTCTCCACCTTTCCTTTGGGTGTGATACATAGAACTCCTTAATCTTCATTCGCGAAGCCTAGCCATGATACATAGAACAACTCAAAGGCAGCACTATCTGGCCAACTCTCCAAAATAATCTCTTCCTACCTGAAGGTCAGCTTACATTCAAACTCACAACACACACAGTGCTGCACTCCAGTGATCCCCAGCAGCCACTTCCCTCCAAACAGCCTCATACAGTTTTCAGTGCTGTGACTCTAAAGGAAGGTTTGTTGCACACTGGGACAAAGCTGAAGCACAAGAAATTTTTGAACAAAACTATGTACTCAGGTTTGCAGAAAGCACTTGCAAAAACAGGAGCCTGAGGAGATCATGCTGGAGCATCAGAACACAAAGTGTGCTGGAACTTAATATTTTTCACCAAGGTGTTACCTGTTAACCACTGACCTCAGAACGGTAGCAGCCACAGGGAGAACAGGAGACAGGTTAGAAAGAAACATAAAGCAGTTTGTGAATTTTCCTGATGGCCCACATGCAACAGCAACATGAGAACCACTCCAGAGTTTCCTGAACAGGAACATACCATAGTGATACATAATACGCTTCACCAGCTCACACTGAGTCATGTTGCATCATACAATTACAGCTTAAAAAATAAAGCCAGAAAACAAATCACATAAAGAAAGCATGATAGCTTATTCATGGAGACACCTTAAATATTTTTTGGGGGGAGGGGAAGGAAATAAAATCACACGTGAGGTCCCAGGCTGCACACTACACTGATCTTATCAGGGCAATTATTTCTACTTCCTATGTTCAAATGCACTTCCACTGCTGAATCCACTAGGCCAGTTGAACGTAGAACACACACAGCCATTACACAATAAACACTATTCTGAGTTTGATATAACCCACAGATGGATGACCATCCTGATCTAGGTACATCAACAAAAAGCTTACAGCCTCCAAATGACTGACATTATTTACTTGATAGATCTAGACTTAAACCTGTCATTTACTTTCAGAAAGTAGTTCACCTGAGATGACGAAGAAAACATCAGACCATTTGAACAGTTTTAAATGGTGGTTTCAGTTAACACAGGCAATTTTTGAGATGGAACAGAGGTTAGTTACATAAACCAACCCACTGGTAATCAAAGAATCCCCTGCAGAATCATGAGAAGAAACAGCTGTAAAACAACCTCTTCCATGACCACAGCCAGATTCAGGTGAAAAGGTACAGCATTACTCACTTCTGAGGCAGTGTAAGTGACAGCTAATTAATAGCCTACTGACATTTTTATAGTAGCAGAGCCTCTGTGAGAAAAACAAAGGCAGCAACTTCATAAAAGTTGAGGATTAATAATTCGGAAACTTTTACAGAACTAAATTCATATGCAGAAGAACTCCATTTAAAATAATAATTAGACTAATTAAGTCAGCGACTTAGCATAGACTATAGATCAGTACAGTGAGTGCACTAACAGTGACAGACTGGAGCGAAAGATGAGATTGTGCAATACATCAGATCTACAATCCCCCAGTCCCTAATACAATATTTCTATATCTTAATTCAAGACAAATTAAAATTCTCTTTTGTAAAATGGACAAGGTAACAAGTAACAAGCCACCTACATCATAAAGTGAAAGAGCTGTAAGTCTGCATGGATGCATTTTTGTCAGGTACTACTGCACTTTCACATTGTATCATTAAGAACTTCATTTCCCTCTACATCAGTAGCTTGCCCAGCTGAAACGCATTAATGTTAATAGAACACAAAAGGAGTTCTCTAAATAAAAAGTGTAAACAAGACTACAAAAGAATTAGAGGACAACTAAAAACCAAAAGACAACAGGAAAAAGCCTATTAAAAAGAAAACAAAGGATTTTAAGATGTGCTTCTATACTGTTAAATTTCCCTCACAAGTTCTTCACATAATCTACAGGAACATAAACTATTGCAACTTGTGGTGCTGCAACCACATGACACACAGAAGCCCTACCCTACTCACAGACCCCACCCAGATGAATGAGGGCTACAATTTTCAAGCTTTACAGACCTATACCATACTTAATTTTTCCTGCCCTTCTATAATTTTCCTCATGTTTATATTTCAACCTTTGGCTCTCCCCTCACATCCAAAGACACATGATCTAAAACTTTTATTCTTTTTGGAGGTCTTTTGCTTAAGTTCTTAAGCTTGCTTATTTTGCTTAAGTTCTATATAAATTATGCTCATCTTTTCACTGCAGGTCCTACTGCAAGCCTGAGATGCAGACCAAACTTTGTCAAGACACTGTATAAAAGCATTAAAGTGTTTCTTAAGAGTCAAACTGTCCTTAGTCTTTTAGAACAGAAGTTAAGAAAAGTAATGTTTTTTATTCTCGCCTTGGAAGTCAGACTTCCTCCCAAGCCCCAATGACCTTATCGTACGTGATCAGCAAAACAGCAAACTGTGTCCAAAGCATTCAGGGATACTACGCTATGGAGTAAACACATGGTAAACACCTTTCAGCGGTTCTCTTGTTCAGAACGCACAAGCCCTAAGAGTACTTAGAACCTTCTGATTTCATTTTGAACGGGGTGAATTCATAGCGGGGCTCTATTTTACGAGACGAAGTTCACGAGCACTCCGCACTGTCTGCCCGGGGCAAGCGGGCGAACCCTTTTCGCCGACACGCCAACCCTGACCCTTCCTCCAGCGGCCACAGCCGCTGGCGGGGCAGGAGCCGGGATTTCTGCGGAAGGCCGGGCACCGCGGTGACGGGCGAGGAGGAGCCACGGGCGGCCGGCAAAAACGGCGCCGGTTCCGCGGAGCGCCGCCAGCGCTCACCACAGCGGCGGGGAGCGCCGAGGCCACGGCCAGGCCCTGGGGAATTCAGGCCCGAGTGGCGGACCCGGCCTGGCAGTGGCGGGGCCCACCCGCGACCGCGCTGCCCCCGCCGCTTCCCGCCAGTGGCAGCCCCCGCCCCGCCACCCCCCCTCCCACAGCAGGCAACTCCTCTGCCGTGACGCCGGGGACGGGCCCCCAGCGCAGCCGGGCCCGCCGCCATGCATAACGCGCCGCGGGGGCCGCCCGCCTTCCGCCCCCCGGAGACCGCGACGAACAGCCCCGCGCCCTATCGTGAGCAGGGGGAGGCCGAAGCTCCTCCCCGGCCCCGCCGCCAGACCCGCCGGCCGTTACCTCGCTCGGCTCGGCTCAGCTCGGCTCCCCTCACTCGCTGCCGCCGGCGGCAGGCGCGAGGCTGCGACCGCGGGAAGGGGCGGCTCGGGCGGGGCGAGCGCCGCGGGGACACAGCGCCGCTCCCCGGCCGGCCGGGGCAGCGCAGCCCGGGAGGAGGCACCGCCCCCGCCCCTTTCCCGCGCCGGCCGGCTGAGGGCAGCGCTCCTGCCCGGGAGGCGTCCCCGCCCCTTTTCCCGGTGGTTACCGGTCCCACCTGCCTGCCGATCCAGCTTCGCGTGCTCAGCTTTGGGAAGGCTCGCAATGCTCTGCCGGGGTGAGGAACCAGCGCGGGAGGACGGAGCTGTCTGAGGGGGCCGCGCTGCTGGGTACGGCACAGGTGAGGTCAGGAAGAGCGGGAGACCCCCGGGGCTGAGCACGGTGACTCAGCCGTGTAAGTGACAGGTTTCACACGTTTAGTTTCTCCTACCGCTGCCCTGTACTACAGATCATTTACTCACGTCGAGAAAGCTCCCACAGTCTGGAATGATGCCGTGGGTCAGCGGGCTGATGCCGAAGGGGCAATGGCAGTAAGCGGCAGAGGAGATAGAGAGTTTTTACGAAGTTGAGGCGTGTCTGACGGGACCTGGCATCCGTGATTGCTGTGGAAGTTAAGAGCTGCAGCAGGAGAATAGAGGAGCAACTGGTTAGGAGGATAGGGCTTCGTTATCTCCACCAAGCAATGGACGTTTGATGGAGATGGACAATGGAAGATTATGGAAAGATGAAAGAGAGATGTGCATTTGACAGACTAAGATGATGATAAGCAGCTCTTAAATTAGAACTGCTGTGAACCCACCACAAAGGGAACTAAGCATCTGGACAAGAGTTTTGAATTTAACACATTTCTTGTGTTGCAGCCCCCCGGGCAGATGGAGCTCGTCAGCCTTGTAAGGCAATCCATCTAAGAGAAGGTCACTCTAAACAAACCTATGTTCTGAGGACCTCACTGCCACTGTCCAAGCTTGCTTGGCCCCGGCAGATGAACCTCAGGATTAAAGGGTGGGCTCAGTTCAGCGCACGCTGTGTCTCACCTAAAAAATCCACTGTGCAGGCTCGAAGGGTTAATGACCTTTCCCAAATCTTCGCTCGCGAAGACTGGCCATTATATTATATACACAAGATGCAAAAAGCTTTTATGGGCAGAGCTCTTATAATAAAATGAAAAATAATTAAAAAACAACACTCGAGGAGGTTCTGCGAGGAGAACTTTCAGGTAGTTTTGTAGAAGTTCATTGATCTGAGAAATTTCACGGTCACCAAACAGGCTTTAAAATCTAGTTGGGAAATTACATATGAAGTTTACCCATTACTGATTTCTAAGAATAGGACTTCATTACATAGCCATAGGCATCCTTGTCAGCTCTGTCTCCCTGCCTGTCCCAGCAAGATAATAGGCAGGGTCTCTAGTACATCTGATTCTCAGACGGAGCTGAGTGCCTTCTTATGCCCCATTATCTTGAGACATTTCCCTGCCATCTGTATGTGACCACCTCCCACCTCCCATCAGGGCACAGCGCTTCAGGAGGATGTTTGCTGGAGGTGTCCCACTGCGATCCTCCTAGGGAACAGAAATATGACACTCCCGTGAAAAGAGAGAAGCATTTTCCCCAGAGGAGTGTCACGACCCACTTGGTAGGATGTGTGATGTTCTTTATAAATTCTCGTCAGGCTGAACAAAGACACCAGTCCTTATGTCAGGGAACTCATGCTTTATTGTATCTTAACTTCTTAAACTCCAGCAAATAGCCCACTATTTAGTCTCAGATGTGTTGGCGAACAAGCCCTTAACTTTTACAACAAACTTCAACAACCTCCCAACTCCCACTGTCCCACCTCTGCAGGACGCTCCCCTCTCTTTCAGTCACAACTTTCCTGTAGCAACAGAACATTTGAGATAAAACATGCTTACCTTCTTACACCTGGTCCTTCACAAGGGGACTAAAGTTGTCTCCCAGTCCAAAGATCCCTTATATTGTGTTTCATCCCATTCAAAGGAAGGGGTACCCTGAGCCTCATTTGTCATTCATTTTCCTTCAAAGAGGGAGATGTGGACAGACTGCTAAAACGCTGCTTATTTAGCATCTAATCTTAACGTGCTTCACAAGAAAGACCAAGAAGTCATGGCCAGCTTTGTGTCTGAGTCACTCATACTCTCATTGCTGCTTCCTTAGAGGCCTGGAGAGTTCTCCTTCTGCCACCAGGATGCACGTGTTTGCACTAGAAATGTAACTTTAGTTTTAATGCCAATACTGAATAAACACGTGCAAAAATAATAGATAGTTCTAGGGTGAACTAAGTATGCATGAGTAGCTCACTACAGTTGTTTTATGAAAACTGTGGAACACTGCACAGAGTAATTTGTCTAGAATTGTAGGGATCACGGTCCTCAGGTGCTGGCTATTTGGTAGCAGCAGAACGGCAAGTATGTTTTATATATAGGATTGTATACATTCCTCAATAAAAGTATTCAAATTAGTATTCAAAACATTTAATGTTTTAGGAAATAAATTGATTTAGGCATTGCTAGTTTGCCCAACACTTTGCTATTTCAGTACCTATCTTGTAGCAATATAGTGTGCAATATTTAAATAAACAAGAATATTCCCGTTTCTAATACAATACATAAAGCCTACACGTCCACAGGATGTGCTGGTAAGCCTCAAAAAAGCTGTCTCTTGCCATGACTCACAAAAGGAAAATAAATAATTATTCAACATGCTGCTATTGTGAGCATCCAAAAATCTGCAAGAAAAGCCTTGATCAGAATTTGTGTGTGCATGTGGTGTCAAGTAACGGTTTCATGGACATACCAGGAACAGTTTCCTTGCCTCATGTGTTCAGTATCTGGATAAGTATCAGAAACAAAATCGTTTTTCTTTAAGGGTGTGATGCTGGTAATGTGTTAATCGTACATTTGGAAAAATAGGTCATGTAAATTCCAGTGTAATGACTGTGTCTTTATATTCTTAAGGTTGCCAAAAAAGAGGAAGAGAGAGGTTTTCAGTATGCTCTAGTGTGATAGCCTTCTTTAAACTGCACCGCTTGGGATGTTGCTGCTGGCACTTGAGGCATGAAACTATGCTGTTCTTTGCCAGTTGTACATATTACAGTATTTGCACCATGAAAATACCAGACTAATTTGGATACTGGCAGATTTCTCACTACTACAGTTAAGACTTTAAATAGGAGGAATTTTGATATCTAAAAAATGATAATTACTGTAATAGAGACTCTTTCAAGTATTCATGTCCTTTTTTTTTTTAATTTTCACACAACTTTTTCAAACAATACAATAATCCCCTATTATTTATTTTGTTGTTGTTTTAGGTTTGGGTTTTTTTAATTCCTTTCTCTCTCCTTATGTCTCCAGTTGGCTTGTTTTTACTTGGAGTGGTTTGAACATACAGCATGTAATCTGTGCTGTTTGGCTCAAGTGTTTAGTCTGGTCTTCACTGAATACTTTAAGAACAGATTCTCCATTTTAGTTTCTACAACGCTATCTTCTTAAAGAAAAATACTATGTGAAAAATACTATGTTCTTGCTTATGTTATAAATCGCAATAAAATAGCAGTATTACTAGAGTTGGGCCATAAAAAAAGGAAATGGCCCTATAATGTTTCTGATTATATACAGCCTATGTCTACTCAGCAAATTGTCATTTCCTTTCTTCTATACTCAAAATGTCTTTATAGTTAAAAAAATTATTATATTTTGATTTGCAAGAACCATTTGCAGCTAGACTTTTGGTTTGAAGAACATTCTGGTATGGCAAGAAAGACACGTTTAACTTTGCCAGTTTTAAAGACTTGTTTTTACTTACAGGAACATGTCGAATATACAATAATAAATATTGTAGGAAAAGGCCTGAGAAATTAGTGGGCATTAAAAATTAATGCCTGCCTGCAGCAAATTTGAAATAAGTTATCTTTCCAGGAACTTAAGGTACAGTTTTTATAATTATTCAGAACTTTACTTTGTACATTAATATACATAATCAAAGCCCCAAATTATCATAGGTTTTTCCTTCCTTCAGAAAGGAAAGATGAAGAGCCCTCATCTAGTTCCTGCAGAAATCATTTTCATCAAAGTTAATCCAGTTCCTCCATGCGGTAACCCCTCTTCTATGGAGTCTTTCACATTCTGTTGCCAGCTTTAAGTTTCATTTACCATTGCAGAAAATAAAAAATTTTAGCTTTCCCCCTCTGTTTTTTTAATTGATTAACCTTAATGCTGATTTGAGATGTTTAACTTGGCTTCTTGGAACGTCTGTGTCTCCAGTTAATATTACTTTGTCCATGATCTTAGAGTTTGTGTTCCTATAAAAGATAACTCTTCCCTCTGCCAGAATTTGATTTTCGAAGTACAAATTTAATTCCCTAAGGAAAAAAAAAAAGAGGGGAGAATAGAAGTTTTATAAAAACAAATATTTGCAGAATAACTCACATAAGTGTCTTGTCTCCTCCACCCCTCTCTAGATTTAAGTCAAATGCATAGTGATTTTTGGTGTTTTATCTCCATAAAGGAACTTCATATCTGGCTTCTATACTTGAAATATATTGATCTTCTGTTCCATATAGCTATCAATTCCGTAGTTAACTGTAGAAACAGATTGGTATCACTGCAGTAATGTTAGTAATTTCACATAAACATTTTTTATTCCAAATAGTACAGTTTTACTATACCTATATTAAAATAATGCCTTAATTCCCTTTGTACATGGTTCTATTTCAGCATTATTTTAAACAGGGAAAAACCCCAGTATTTAGAAGCAGCAGAAATCTAGATTATGAGGCACTTTTTGCCCCACTGAAGACAATAGCAAAAATTCTGCTGGTTTCAATAGGATCACATTTTTAGATGAACAGGTCACATTAATTCCAGCATTATCATAAATGAATACTAAAGAAGTTACTTAAGAAATCAGTACTTCTGCTCACATACACATCAGTAAAATATCAAAGGAGTTTATAAGGTTATTGCTGAATGTTAATAGTTGTAAATTTTCAAGTTCTGGTTTAAAGGCATTCTAAAGCAGCATAATA